TGGAGCTTAACCTATAGTCTTGGCAACACCTGTGTTGTTTGGGGATTCTCATGGGGCCCCTTTGTCAAAAATTCAATTAGATGCAACCTAATCCCACTATTGGAAGCTTTGTTTGGTAGCAAAAGATGGTCAGTTGGGACACTGTCTCCTCATTATTTGGTGATTTTATTTAGATAACCTTCATATGATGTATATATTTTAGGTTTCTGTACCACACCGCAAATGGCCTTTACTTTCAGCTGTCTCTCCCCATGTTCCCCCCACAACCTTTCTCCCTCCTCCTCCCCATTAGAAAATCCATTCCAGCTGCCCTGTCCATCCATATATTCTATTTCCTTCCCTAGTGAGGTCTATCTGCACCCCAGTCCCTTACTCTATATCTAACAACAGTGGTTCTGTGGATTGTGACTTGATTATCATTGAGTTAATAGCTATTACTCACATATAAGTAAATACATGCCATATTTGTCCTTCTGGGTCTGGGATACCCCATTTGGGATGATTTTTTTCTAGTTCCATCCATTTGCCTGCAAATGTCACAAAATCATCTTTTCAACAGATGAGTACTTCTCCATTGTGTAAATGTATCACGGTTTCTTCACCCATTCTTCTGTTGAGGGACATGTAGGTTGCTTCCAATTTCTGACTATTCAAAATGAACATGGTTGAGCCAGTGTCTCTGTGGCAGGACGAAGCATCCTTTAGATTTATGACCAAGAGTGATGTAGCAGGTTTTTGAGGTAGATCAATTCCCATATTCCTAAGGAATAGCCACACTGATTTCCACAGTGTCTGTATGAGTTTGCAGTCCCACTAACAACAGATGGATATTTGTCTTACCATCTAAATGAGCTGTCATTTGTTTAGTTGACCTTAGCCTGGCGTTTTCTAAATTGGCATGAGATGCAAGGAATGTCAGTGAGGGTGGTGACGGTGATGGTGAAGACAATGGAGGTGATGGGGACGGGGATGGTGAAGACAATGGAGGAGGTGGGGAAGATGATGGGGAAGACAATGGAGGTGGTGGGGACGGTGAGGGAGAAGACAATGGAGGGGGTGGTGACGGTGGTGGGGAAGGCAATGGAGGTGGTGGTGACGGTGATGGTGAAGACAATGGAGGTGGTGGTGACGGTGGTGGTGAAGGTGATGATTGTGGTGGTAATAATGGTAACAGCGATGACGAGGGTGATGGTGACGACGATGACGAACAGGAGGAGGAGGAGGAGGATTGCAGAGGTGTGGCAGTGGTGACTGTGGATGGTGAAGATGTGAGGATGGCAATGATGACGGAACTGAGGTCATTATGTGCAAGGGCCTGGCAAAGGAGTACCACCTGCCCTGTGCAGGGTGGCTTGAGCTTGTTCTCCTATGGTTGCTTCCTTGTTTTGTGCCTCTGTTGCCCACATAGCTTATTATCTACCTGGCACGACTTGGGGGGTATCCTGTTATTTACACTAGTGACTCTCAGTCACAGTTTGTGCTTTGTTGTGAATGGAGCAACCTGGGTGAGGTTGACCTCAAGAGCCCAGAGCATCAAGTGTACTCTGGGCATGCTCAACACTTCCACCTGGTTTAAATTTGGACCTCAAATACTCAAAAATAGAATTGGCTGGGAATGCAGAAAGCCAGTATATCTTACATTCTGGGCTGTGAGACGTTTGGCTGCATGGCTGACAATACCAAGTCCATGAGGGGACTGTCTAGTGAATGGGTAAAGGTAGTCATTGCTGGAGATTTGTGTCTGTGAGAGCACAGAGGCCATAGCTCACATGCCACCTCTCAGGCCTGTGGTCTGAGCAACTTCATTGGCTGGGTGGTATTGTTTGGTGAGCATCACAGGCCTTCTGCCTCGGTAGATGAGGCCAAATAAAGTCACTTCTTGCAGCCCAACACATTGTGTACCTTCTAGTGGACAATGTAGTTTAGCCAGTAGAAACAGAAACTGTCCCTTCATGTGAATGGAAAAGTGGTAAGGAGTCCTTTTCCCTAGTTGTTGTTTATACCATTGTCTTTAGAAATCTAGGGCATGTGACACAGAAAAAAATGCTGTCACTAGATCTGAAGAGGTATCTTGAAGAAAAATCTAAAAGCCTCCAGGTCTGACTTGACAGCTCTATTTTCAGAGGTGTGTTGAATCTCTTAGAGGTAATCACTTATGCACTGAATACTATTGTCTTACTGGAACAAGAATGGGTATCTAGAATATTTCATTGAATCTATTTCTAGAACTGAATATTATTCATTTATTGGCACAAAAGTGAACATCTGGAATATTCTATATAAGGCTTTACAGAGCAAGTTTGAAGAGGAGAATTTAAAACAAATGCCCAGTGGCCTGAGGTGAGCAGCCATTAGCTGGGCAAACTAACATCTTGCAGAGATGACAGATGGGAGAGAGAGGGGTGAGTTCCTCCCATCTGAGCTCGCTCCCGGCACAGGGAAGAATCCTCACAACAATGGGCTAAAATCCTTTCCTAAGACAAGCCCTCTGGGCCCCCTGTCAGAAACCCCACTAATCGCTTCCCAAGCTCCCCACCCTGTAGCTGAAGCTTGGTTCACAACATTTACAGCTAAGTACATTATTAAAAGTCAAACCAAACAACGTTTGCCAGTCCCTGGGGGAATGTGGCGAGGAATGAATAATTCTGAAAAGATCCTGGCATCTGTGTGCATTAACCACAAATGGCCATTAAGTCAGAGCAGCACAGGGAGCAGCCTGCAGGCTGCAGAGCTCACACCCATGAGAAGTGCTGGTTCTCCCCCTTTCCAGGAGGAGGCCAAGGCCTGGTCCCCACCCACAGTCAGCCTGAGGGCCACCTTCTCTCCCTTTGATCCCTAGAATGGAACAACCTAATTCCTTCTCAGCAGCTTCACCAAACACTGCAGCCAGTCACTGCCCTGGACTTCTGGGGCTCCTGTAGCTCCCTCCACCCCAACAAATAGTCTGAGAGGATGGGCCCTTGCAGCCAGCTCCAGTGTGTGGTGGCCTGCAGCACACACTGCCTCTCACCAAAGATGGGAGCATAGTCTCCATGGCAGCTGGCCCTCGCCTCTTCCGTCTCTCACTTCACATGCTTGGGGAGTGACTGGGATTCTGGATGCTGTGTTGTCAGGGAGATGGTCATACGGGCTTTTGATATCCTTATATAGTCGTGACATTGGCTAATTACCTAGTCTGCCTGAATCCAGCTTTCTTATTTGTCAAATAGGACCAAGCCTCTTCTGCTTGCAAGATGAGAGCCCCAAAAAGCGTTCATGAGACCTTGGAAGTAAAGATGATGAAGGGGGGTCTCCTTGAACATCGGGTGTCTTTGCTCCATGTTAAATGGAGCAGGAACTCAGCCAATATCCTCATGAAATATCTCCTTAGTGCAGTGTTCTCTCTCTCTCTCTCTCTCTCTCTCTCTCTCTCTCTCTGTGGTATGGTGGTGGTGAGACTTTCTGTCATGACCCTGGTGTGAAGCTACACCACAGGGCACTGCCCCAGCCTGTGATCTGAGCTTGAGCCGCTTGTCTTTTCCTGCTGCAGTCAGGTTGTAGGAGTCAGGACCATTACATGGTAGGGCGCCCTGTGGGTTAAGAAGGAGTACTATGCAGGGAAGTAGGTCTGTGGGCTGGGCTTCCCGGAGATCCCTGCCTGGAGAATTCCTGGGCCTGTGGGGCACAAACACGGAGCCTGCTCTGGGGATTCTGTTTAGGCTTGCTGCCATCAGAAAAGTCTGAATGTGTATCAATTATTATTAGCAGGGTTTTATGAACCCCACGTGGGTTGAATTTCAGAGAGGTGTGGTGAGTGTAGTTTCTTGGGGCCCTGTTTCAGAAGGTCTCCAGGCTTGGGGTATCATGCTTTTGGGCTGCTTGTTTTGGTTTGTTTGAATGTGTTTTGTGCGCACTGTCTGGAGGGACAGTGGACCTGGGCTTTCTACTCACTTGTGGTCCTGGGACATCCCTGCCCAGCTGGGGTGGGTTCTTGACCCTTAACCTACTGCCCAGCCCACCTCCCCCCCAACCTCAGATCATGTGTCATTCTGCTTGGACAATGTCTTGTTTCAGTGTGTGTGTGTGCGTGTGTGTGTGTGTGTGTGTGCGTGCACGCGCAGGTGGTCTTTGTTTACTGTCATCTTCCACTCCTAGAAGGGGCCTAGCATGCACATAGATGAGGGGTTATGTCATCTCTATTCTAAATGGAGGGCCATTTTGCAGTGGGAGGGTAAGACTACTGCCTACTCCTGACCGAGTATTCAGTGCACCCAGACCTGAGTAGGGGGTCCCTGCCCCGCTGAGAACTTAGAAAACAGGCTGCCCCTGTCTGAGTCTGTGTGCTTCTTTCAGGTGACTGATGGACAGGAGAGTCAGTGACTGGTGTCCACCAAAAGCACAGTGATTTCATAATAGACACAGGCAGCTCCCTTGAGGATCCGTGGACTCAAGAGACAGTGACATTAAACAGGAAGCAACAATGGCAGGTAAAAGAGAATTCAGAAGACAGAGACAAATGACATACCTAATTCCTTTGCATCACTTCCTGTTAACAAGGAACGTTGCCTCTTCCTTCTCTGCCAGGCCCTGCAAACTATGTAGCCTGTGCAGTCCTGAGCTTGAGAACTCAAATGATTGCAGGTGCCATGCCTCCTACATCACCCTAACACAATCATCTGGGTGTCTCCAAGTTTCTGAATGCTTTGAACTGCAGAAACTTCAGATTTACACCCTGGTGGGGTCAGGAGATGACTCTGTTGGTGATGGACTTACCATACAAGAATGAAGACCTGAGTTAAGTCTCCAGAACTCACTAAAAAAAACCTGGTTATGATGCAAGTTTGTAATCCCAGCACTGGGGAGGTAGAGGAGGGCAGATCTCTGGTGCTGGCTGGTTACCCAGCCTTGTCTACTTGGTGAGCATCAAGTTCAATGTGAGACCCTTTCTCAAAAAGCAAAAAGGAGGCCCCTATGTGTCTTCTCTACCCTGGGAGCAGCTCTCCTACTTGATCCCTCACCCCTGAAAATGTATGCCTACTCCAAGTTCATCTCTACCCGCTCCTTGATCAGGAGCACCTCTCAGCTGCTGAGTCATCCCCTGTCTGCAATGGAGTTGAATCCACCACAGACATGGACAGATGAGGGCCTCGGCAGCTTGGCAGCCCCTCGCCCTCCGACCTCAGTCATCCCTAGCCACAGCTTCCAAACCAGCGTCATCTCCAGAGACATCGACACAGCTGCCAAGTTCACTGGGGCTGGAGCTGCTACAGTTTTGGTGGCTGGCTCTGGGGCTGGGATTGGGACTGTTTTGGGGAGCCTCATCATTGGTTACGCCAGGAACCCTTCTCTGAAGCAACAGCTCTTCTCCTATGTGATCCTGGGCTTGGCCCTCTCAGAGGCCATGGGGCTCTTTTGCCGTTTTTCATCCTCTTCGCCATGTGAAGCAGCTGTCTCCACTTTCACCTCCCATAGTCCTTTCGTGTCCTGTCTGCCCTGTGTGTTCCCTTTCCTGTACCTCCCCAGGAAGACAAATAAATACTGTATTAATAAGGAAAAAAAAAGTAAAAAGGAGTAAAACTAAGGATGCCCGCACACCCACACTCACAAACACACACACACCTAAGAATGTCCAGACTGGAGACTCTCAAAATTTCCCACATGGAGCACTTGCATGTAGATTCTCACCCTCGGCACCTCGCAACAGCATTTATCTCGCTCTACACCACTCCACTCTACAGATCAGTCAACACTGGGGCTGCCCCTACTTTTTGGAAACTGTGCAGGATGACTTTCTGAACAAGAGTTTACGGAAAGAAATCTCTTCAGGACCTTGCTCTCAGCTCTTCTGCATATGCATTTAAGGCTGCATAGCCAGACAGCATGAGTCGAGCTCTTTGAGGAACACCCACGTTGTGTTACGTCATCTCCCGCTCCCTCTGCCACTCAAGCAGGGTTGAGTTCCTCCACATTCTCACTGACACTCTCTAGTTTCCATTTTGGTTCTGTATCCCTCCTGGTCCATCAGGCTAGCGATACCTGGTGGGGCATTTCATTGTGGCTTTGATTGGAACTCTCTTGCTGACTACTGATGCTCAGCATCTTTTCTAGGTTTACCTGCCATTCGTTATCTTTGGACAGATATGGTTTTTCACATAAGTGAAACGAAGCCTTGTCTTCCCAGGCAGATCATCTGCTGGGTGAAAACGAAACAGGACTAAAAGCGCTCTGGGAGGTCTCAGTGTGATTGGTGCTTTGGGAAAGAACTGGGGCAGGAGGTGGTTTTGTGTCTGATGAAGGGAGGATTTCTCTAAGGAGAGGCTGTGGGGAGGCCTGGAGGCTGTGGGAGAAGACAAGTCGCCTAGAGAATGTGGGAAGGGCAGAGGTGAGCTTAGGTGCGAAGGTAGGAAGGAGGGTTGTCTGTGTCTGAAAACAAGGGGACAAGACACAGGACAGGAGTGAGGACAAGGGACATTGGTAAAGGGAACAATACTCCTTTAATGAGTCACATAGTGGCTGGAGGTTAATGCAGACACTCGTCTGGTCAAAGTACAGGGACTTAGTGTACTTTGGGACATCTAAATTACACACCTTTCCCCCAAGGCTCAGCGACCATCGTGTAAGATAGGCAGAAAGATGAAAAGAGCCAGTGGCCAGAGAGGAGCAGGATGAAAGGGTGCCTTCTGAATATAACACCATCAGGGCACTCACGAACTCATAGCATCTGTGGTTGCCTGCATGAGACCTGAGCAAGACCAAATTGGCCAATGTTGTCGTGTGGACATTCGACCTCCACCCCACCCCTAGCTGAGGAGCTATTCATAGGGAAGGGAGAGTCAGTTTTCTTCTAGGGTATGTCTTCTGGTAGGTTGATCATCACCCAGAGGACAGCCTCACCTCCATGAATATATGGACTGCACAAATTAGACTCTGTGGAATAGATACAGACACAGACATAGACATGAAATTGGGAATGGGAGGAAGGGAGACTTGGGAGGAGAGGAGGGGGGGGAGAAGGGATGAATATGATCAAAATACATTGTATTCATACATGAAATTCTCAAAGAACTAATAAAAATACTATATTAAAAGTGTTTGCATGATGCCTAATGTAGAAAGTGGTTGTTATTAAAGTCTGCCCATGCTTTTCTTGTAAGAGAAAATATCCCAGATGTTTTAGTTTCACTGGACATTTAAAAAGAAGCCCTCTTTTGGCTGAGAGTTGGGAGTCGGCCCTGGAAGCAGTTCACTGGTCCTTCTGAGGATGCTGGCCTGGAGTTTGTATTGCCTCTCAGTTATGTGGCTACTTCCTGGGATTACTTGTCCTCTTAAGGAATTCTAGGTTCCTGGCAACTCTTGCACAAGGAAACATTCCGAGGATGTCAGCAAAGTGTGAGCATGGACTATGAGATGTCCCCAGATGCCCAGCTAGTATTTATATCACAGGCCACTCTAGGAACCCCAGGCAGTCAGAGTCTTAAGCAGAGACCATCAAGTGTTCTGGAACTTCTGGAATGATGTAGAGGGGCAGGTATCTCAGGGAAAGAGCCAGAGGCCAGAGAAGAGCAGGACGAAAGGGTGCCTTCTGAATATAACACCATCAGGGCACTCACGAACTCATAGCATCTGTGGTTGCCTGCATGAGACCTGAGCAAGACCAAATTGGCCAATGTTCTCGTGTGGACATTCGACCCCCACCCCACCCCTAGCTGAGGAGCTATTCATAGGGAAGGGAGAGTCAGTTTTCTTCTAGGGTATGTCTTCTGGTAGGTTGATCATCACCCAGAGGACAGCCTCACCTCCATGAATATATGGACTGCACAAATTAGACTCTGTGGAATAGATACAGACACAGACATAGACATGAAATTGGGAATGGGAGGAAGGGAGACTTGGGAGGAGAGGAGGGGGGGGAGAAGGGATGAATATGATCAAAATTCATTGTATTCAAACATGAAATTCTCAAAGAACTAATAAAAATACTATATTAAAAGTGTTTGCATGATGCCTAATGTAGAAAGTGGTTGTTATTAAAGTCTGCCCATGCTTTTCTTGTAAGAGAAAATATCCCAGATGTTTTAGTTTCACTGGACATTTAAAAAGAAGCCCTCTTTTGGCTGAGAGTTGGGAGTCGGCCCTGGAAGCAGTTCACTGGTCCTTCTGAGGATGCTGGCCTGGAGTTTGTATTGCCTCTCAGTTATGTGGCTACTTCCTGGGATTACTTGTCCTCTTAAGGAATTCTAGGTTCCTGGCAACTCTTGCACAAGGAAACATTCCGAGGATGTCAGCAAAGTGTGAGTATGGACTATGAGATGTCCCCAGATGCCCAGCTATTATTTATAACACAGGCCACTCTAGGAACCCCAGGCAGTCAGAGTCTTAAGCAGAGACCTTCAAGTGTTCTGGAACTTCTGGAATGATGTAGAGGGGCAGGTATCTCAGGAAACACAGTGCAGTGATGTAGTCAAATCCACAGAGCTGGCTTTTCTGGGGAGGAGATTGGGTCTCTCCACAGGAAAGTCTGTCTTAGTTAGGATTTCTATTCCTGTGAAGAGACACCATGACCATGCAACTCTTTTTTGTTTTTTTGTTTTTCTTCAAGACAGGGTTTCTTTGTGTAGCTTTGTAGACCAGGCTGGCCTCAAACTCACAGAGATCCACCTGCCTCTGTCTCCTGAGTGCTGACATTAAAGGCGTGTGCCACCACCATGCAGCATGATCACTCAACTCTTACAAAGGAAAACATTTAACAGGGTGGATCACAGTTTCAGAGGTTTAGTCCATTATCATCATGGCAGGACATGGCAGCATTCAGGCAGACATGGTGCTGAAGAAGAAGTTGAGTGTTGTGGAACATTTGTTTACACTGTATAAAGATATGCCACTGTGATTAGTTTAATAAAGAGCTGACTTGCTAATGGCTAGGCAGGAGAGAATAGGCAGGACTTCTGGGGAGAGAGAGAACTCTGGGAAGAATAGAGATGTAAGACCCCTGGAAAGCCCAGGCTTCCAGAATCTTAGCCCAGGACCACGGCCATCCCAATCACAGAATGGAGGCGAAAGCTTGCTGCAAACTGCACGAGGCTTTATTGTAGTTTAACAAGCTAACCCCATGTTAGCTCGGGTCTTTGACCCACCCACCATGGCGGATGGCTAGCAAAGATGGCTCCTAGGGTCTCCCAAGAGATCTTATAGGACAGCGTAAGGGGAGTGTCTAGGGGTACACACAGACTCAGGATTGGTGTGCCTCCAGTTTGGAGGGCTTGCCCTGTGACAGACTCAGGATTGGTGTGCCTCCAGGTTTGGAGGGCTTGCCCTGTGTTGATTGGTCAATTGGTTGTTATGGCCCATAGGCTCTCCCAGGGTGGTTGCTATGCTCTCTACATCATTGCTGTGCGCTTGTCCGTAAAGCACACCCAGGGTCATAAAGCATAGCGCCACCAGCTAACTTCTGATTGGTTCCTTGTCATGAGACAGGCATCTGACTTTCTAGTGATTAACTTTTGTTTGTTTCCTTGTCACGAGGCAGGCATCTGACTTTCTAGTGTCTAGGACAAGGTCATAGAAGCACGTGTTCGGCCATTATGGCTGCCAAAAGGGAAACTGGTCCCTTCAGAGATGGGGCAATGCCTGCCAGGCGCTGAAGCAGTTGGACATATGGTACAGAGTAGAGGTAATAGAGCCACATGGCAGAATGTAGATTTGTAGATTTAAAAATATGGGTTAATTAAATAATAAGAACTAGTTGAAAGTAAGCCTAAGCTAAGACCAAACTTTTGCAATTAATAAGAAGTCTCCATGTTGTTGTGAGCTGGCAGTCCCACAAAGGAAAGTCCAACTACAGTTTAGAGTTCTACATCTTGTTTTTCAAGATAAGGTTTCTCTGTAGCTTTGGAGCCTGTCTTGGAACTCACTGTGTTGACCAGGCTGACCTCAAACTCACAAAGACCTGCCTGTGTCTGCTTTCCAAGTTCTGGGATTAAAGGTGTATGTCACCACCACCCATCGTGTGTTCTACATCTTGACCTGCAAGCAACAGGAAGTGGTCTGTCTCATTGGGTGTAGTTTGAGCATACGACACCTCAAAGCCCACCCTAACTGTGACACACTTCCTCCAACAAGGCCATTCGTAATAGTGCCACTCCCTATGGGGCCATTCTCTTTCAAACCTCCACATTCCACTCCCTGGCCCCCAAAGGCTTGTAGTCATATCTTAATCCAAAAATTTATTTAGTTCAACTTCAAAAATGTCCATGGTTTATAACAGTCTCAAACTTATTTAAAAATCTAAAGTTCAAAGTCTCTTCTGAGATTCATGAAATCTCTTAAATGTAATCGCCTATAAAATCAAAATAAAAAATCAGATCATATACTTCCAACATACAGTAGCACAGAATATACATTACCATTCCAAAACACAGGGAAGAAAGCATAGTGAGGA